GAGAGAGAGAGAGAGAGAGAGAGGAGAGAGAGAGAGAGAGAAGAGAGAGAGAGAGAGAGAGAGAGATCTAGTAACTGACCTACAAAAGTTCTGACTAGCTTTTTATAATTAAAAACTTTAAAAAGGTTATGATAATTTAATCTGGCCAGAAATATATATTTAAGTGCACTCTGATTTTGTAAAGATGTCCATTTGTGGGCTGGCCAGATAGCTCAGCAGACTAAAGTGCCTTCTTAGGCAGAGCTCAGGGACTGGGGTTCAATCCCTAGCACCACCGCCATGCTGGCCCTGCCCCTGGGGCACACTGAGATGGAGACTGAGACTGGGCATGGTGGCACAGGCCTGTAATCCCAGCGCTTGGGAGGCTGAAAACAAGAGGATCACTAGGAGTACAATCTACATAGTGAGACCTTGTAGACCTTGTACTAAATACATTTTTTAAAAAGATGCTCATTTGTGTGCTCTATGTATTTGTTTATGTATTTCCATGTCATTCTGTGAACACTTGTGCCTCTTTTTACTTCAGCTTTGGGATATAGACTTAGAAGCATGCTTTCTCCTGAGTTACCAGCTGATCTAAGTGATATCAAAATTAGATTATTCACAGGTCATCCAAAAATTTAAGGTAACTAAACAAAAATCATTAAAATGGGGAGAGATTATTGGACAGCACTCCAATTGATGGATAGAGGGGTGGCCAACCTTTGTCCACTAATAAGGAGCCCCCAATAATCTCCATAGTCTCTTAGATAACCCCAATAATTTAGTCATTGGTTAAAAGATAAAGATTTTCAGAAAAAAATTATAATAAGATTTTTTCATAAAAGATGCCTTGATATAAAACTATGACAATTTGTTATTGTTAATAAAAGATATTCATGCCTTCCAAGTATACAGCATTCTACAACAGAAAACTGATATTTTCTTTCAAATTTGAACAGATGCTTTTCTCTTATGCTCTAAATATTTGTAATAAGTTCATGTCAAGCTAACATGAGGTCATCAGTCACATGATAATTTTCTTTTTTTATGTATTTGATACAGGGTCTACAGGGTCTCACTACATAGGTCAGACTTTTAGTGATTTTCCTGTTTTCAGCCTTCCAAGTGCTGGGATTATAGGTTTGCACCACCACATCCAGTCTCAATTGTGTCTCAGTGTGCTGTGGGAGCAGGCCTGGCACAGCACAAATGATAATTTTCTAAAAAAAAAAAAAAGTATGTGCTATGTATGCTGTGCACATTTAGAGATGCTTAGCTAAAATAGAGCTTTCATCATGACTCTTATGCTACACTATTATGTATGACTTTGTTTTTGGTTGTTTTTATTTGTTTTTTGGTACCAGAGACAGAACTCAGAACTTGGGACATTACACTTGCCAGGTGAGCTATATATATTTATGTCAAACTTTCTCTGTATAACTGTTTTCTGTTAACATTCTACAGGGTTTTTTGGTTTTTTTTTTTTGTTGTTGTTTTGTTTTTTTTGCAGAACCGTGGATTGAACTCAGGCCCTTGTGCTTGCCAGGCAAGCACTTATTCTACTGAACTATCTCCCCAGCTCTAAAGGGATTTAAATACTAGAACAGTCATGGTTGGTAAGAAATAACAGTTCTCTGGTTACACTTTATATTTCAAGGTGCTTAATACTCAGATAAAATTTTAGTAATTAAGTATATTGGCCCCAAGTAAGTATACTAATGTAAACCCAGATTCTGTTGAAGGAACAGTTATTATTAATTCCTTTTTATACCCTGATTTGCTCCTTGACATTCATGCCAAACTTAAAAAGGCAGATCTTGGGGACCGGGGAGATGGCTCAGTGGAATAAGTGCTTCCCTGGCAAGCACAAGGGCCTGAGTTCAATCCCTGGTTC